ACTACTTCTACTACTGCTGCTGCTGCTGCTGCTGCTGCTCCTCCTCCTCCTCCTCCTCCTCCTCCTCCTCCTCCTCCTCCTCTCGTCCTAGTACTACTACTACTACTACTACTACTACTACTACTACTACTACTACTACTACTACGACTACTAGTATTACTACTACTATTACTACTACTACTACTACTACTACTACTACTACTACTACTACTACTACTACTACTACGACTAATGTCTAAAAACTGTTTAAAACATGATTGTGGGGAGACAGTTAAAAAAATCCGGCTCCCCAGCGCTGTAGTGCGCCTATAGAAAACAAAAGGGAGGCGGAGCAAACTGGATCGCTGGAGACGTCCCCACGACCGCCCTGGCGCCCTGCGTGCAGGGGCAGATTCCTGCGCACCCCCTCTTGGCGTCAGGCCACGCCTGACACGCCCTGCGACCCCAGCGTGGATAGAGACTGCGCTCAGGAACCACTCCCTGCGCACCGCGCACCCTGTCTGGGTTGCGAACAAGCCGCACCGCACCTGACACGCCCGAGCCTGGCGTGGAAAGAGACCGACCGCACTTGGGGACCATCCCTTGCGCACGCCCTCTGGTGCCGAGAGGGCCACAAGTGCTTTCAGATGGCCTCCAAGATGACGCAATATGGTCCAAGTTGGCTCAAGATGGCCTCATCAGACCGGCGACATGTGATGAAAATATTATGCAACTAACGTTTGTTTTCGGAGACGGGGAGTCGAGGAGGAGGGGGGCGGAGGCAGAGTGGAACAACAGGACAGGAGAGGGGCTAGACCAGGTTACGACGAAGGCCGGATCGCCCTCCAGGCCAGAAAGGCCCTCAGCAAGCCAATCAGTTCGAGGCCGCACCAAGGCTACACCAGGTTACAGCGAAGGTCGCACCGCCCCCTGGGCCAAATTTGCAGGGCTACACCAGGATACGATGAAGGCCGTCCCCCCTCTGGGCCACGCAAGCGGGGCTACACCAGGTTGTAACGAGGGCCGGCGCGCCCTCCAGGCTAGACATAAGGGGCTACACCAAGCTACAATGTCACATCGGCATTATCCCTGGTACCGAGGTATATACAAGTGGCATCGATCGGCATCCATGGAATTTGTTCCAAAGGAGACAAATAGAAAATAGCAGTCGGGATCCGGGAGGGGGGGAAGGGGGGGGTCATCATTTTTTAACCGGTTCTGGACATTACTAATACTACTGCTACTACTACTACTACTACTACTACTACTACTACTACTACTACTACTACTACTACTACTACTACTACTACTACTACTACTACTACTACACTACTACTACTACTACTACTACTACTACTACTACTACTACTACTACTACTACTACTACTACTACTACGACTAACGACTACTACTACTACTACTACTACTATACTACTACTACTACTACTACTACTACTACTACTACTGCTACTACTATAGCTGTTCCTACTGCTACGCACATCCTCCTAGCCGTCTGAAGAGGACGGAGGAGGAGAACGGGGAGGTTGGAAAAGAGCAGCCACCGAAGCAGAGCACATGATGAAAAGGAAGATTGATGCTCCAACTATTCTCCACCCTCCATTTTCTCCCATCGAGCTACCCGTCCCCCTCCTTCCTCCTGATCCTTCTCGTATGCCACCGCAGAGGCCACCAGTTCACGTTGGTCTCTGCCCCCGCGACGGGCGCTGCAAGGCTACGGCCACACCACGCTACAGCTTGATAGCGAGGCTTCCATTACAGCACCAAGATGGTTCTGCCGAGGCTTTTCTGCAGAGTTCGGTAGATCCATCCTGCATGTAAGTGAATGCTGCGCTGTCACGGTGGCGGGGCTTTCTGCAGACAGTTAGATGTTGGACTCGGTGGCGATCTGTGCGAAAAAAGCACCCCGACTTCCTATCCAAAAAAAATATCCTGGCGAAAGACCCAACCATATGCAGTTGTGAGTGCCGCAATTGTGAGTACCTTCTTCGGTGGCGCTCCCTATGGGGCCACGAACCGCATGAGGGGCATGCCGAAATATGGCGGGGTACACAACGCAAAGGAATACGATAGGTCAGATTACGAAAGAATGAACGCGGGTGGGCCAGAGCGCGAGAGAGTCTGAGTGTGAATGGGTCTGCGCGGGAGAGAGTATATTTGCATGAATGCGATCTTGGCTACGCCTATAAGAATGTGAATGGCTCGAGCATGCCTTTCCGAACACTTGTGACACTGGGCGTGGCCGCCGCAGGCAGCTTCCGCGGGAACCCCGACGGCAGCGCCCGCGCGCCGCGACGCCCATGTCGGCACGCCCCTCACGGGGATCGCACCCGCTTCCGTCCCTTTGTTTCCCCCCTCTTTGCCTGCGCGCTCCAAAAATCCAAAGCTGCGGGCGCAGAGCAGCGCGGAGTCCCCGCGACGCGCGCAGGTCGCCGCGGAGGGGTCCCAGCGACGCGCGCAGGTCGTCCGCTGCGCGGAGCACAGAGAGTGCCAAAAAGGGGCG